TTCCTGTGCAAACGCAAAGTAAATGCAGAAGTGCAAATCGCAGATCGCGCTTTGTTATAGCACTGACTGGAGATTGTAGCTTGTTATAACAACAACAACTTGTATTTATATAGTCGTCCCCAGGTGCCAGATGGTTGAGGGTTTGCACCCCACCTGGGGTTGGATTCGGGAGGGGTGGGGACCAAGTGAGGTGGCGGGGAGAGGATAATGATAATAATAATCCTTACATTTGATATAGTGCCTTATTGTGTCTTTGACACGTCTCAAAGCGCTCCACAGAATGTACTGTAAAGTGAATTGAATATATTTTGTGGGCGAAACATGGCAACCAATTGCACACAGCAGTGACCCACAGTCATAGATTGAGTGACCATATTATTATTTATTTTTGAAGGCATTATTACCTTGGAAAAGCGATCCGCCAATCGACTAACAACCGAGTTCCTACTTACTGCTAGATAAACAGAGACGTGTGGACTAAAGAATTGAACCCAGGTCCTCTCATTTCAAAGAGGAAGGACTTGAGACTGGTTGAAAGAGGTGAGGGAAGAGGTGAGGCAAAGAAACTCCAGGATGGAGTTCCAGAGGGTGGGGGCAGAAAGACTTTCACTGTCTTCCTCTCAAAATAAATTTGTTTACTTTTAGAGATCATATTTGGGCCAAAATCGATTTTGCTGATTGACACCAATAATAGTGGCTATTTATCAGTAGAAAAAAGGGTATTTCTTGGTGAAAAGTTAGTAGCTGACGGTAAAAAGTGTTTATTGGTGAAAATGGTCCTTACCAATTTTGAAGGGTCACAGAGATTTACTAAATTAACAATAAAGATTAAAACCACAAGTGACCTCATGCAGGTTAGTGTGAGTTAATGAGCATTCAGACACACGCTGTTGCTTTGTACTGAAAGGAGAGCTTGTACCAGGGAATTGTGCAATTCCATTGCAGGTGGAAGCTCTGAGGTACTGGGTCTTTCATTGTTGGATATTATACGCCTGAAATAAAGAAAAACAGAAGAGGTAAAATGTAAAGTTAAAAGTTAGCAGTTACAATGAATGGTAAAGCTTTGCAATTTACCTGCTACAAAATATACTCAAACCAGATAGATTGTTTTTTTCCTATCATTTAATCTCCTAATAGAATACATATGTTCCAGGGAAATTAGCTTTGAGCTGTGCATTTGTTGGTGTTACTATAATTTAATGCAGTAAAGTGCTAATGGTTCACTCCAACATAGTCTCTCTCAGCAGTGCTGCCTCAGGCACCATATGTTGAAGAGAATTAAAATAGTAACTCAAAATAATGATCATTACATGCAATTGAACCTATTTTCCTGTTATGATTTATTTGTTTTGACATGAATAAATAACATTTTATTGTGGCTTCAAAGAAGGGTTCTGGGTACAAATCCCAGATAGGGATTTGAACTCACATAGTCTAAGCTGACATTCCAATGCAGGGCTGGGGGGAGTTTACATTATCGGAGATGCCGTCCTTCAAATGAGACTTTAAACCAATGTCCGTCTGCCTCTTATGGTGGATGATAAAGATCCCATGGCATTATTTGAAAAGAGAAGGGAGTGTCTCCTGGTGTCTTGGCCAACAATCCCCCTGCTCAATTGATCATTCACTTCATGGCTGTTTGCGGGACATTGTTGGGCACAAATTGGCTGCTAAATTTGCCTACAAAATGCACAGCCGGTGCACTTCCAATCAATTCCTGTGAAGCATTTTGATAGCTATGAGGGGTGGAGGGACGGGAGAGTTACTCTGGAATACTTGCACTGTACAGCACTGAAACAGGCCATTCAGTCCCAACTGGTCTGTGCCAGTGTTTTTACTCCATATGAGCCTTTCCTAAGTCCTTCCTGTTATACCTCTCTATTCTCTCCTCAATGCTTTCTGCTTCACCCACAGCTGCCAGCAGTGAGTTGCACATTCTCACAACCCTCTATGCCAAGCTGCTTCCAAACTGGCTTTTAGATCTGCTGGAGGATATCTTATATTTATGGTTTTGCTGTTGCAAATGAGCTGCCTCTTCTGCGGACATAACAAGATTGAGTCAGCAGTTTAGCTCCCGTTCTTCAAATGTAGCTCATTGTGAAAATGCCTGGAGATGTTTTTAAATGAAAGGCGTTGCATTGTTGGGATTTAAACAAAACACGTTCCTGCTTTTGAGTTGAATTTAGAAACATTTGCACAACAAAAATCAATTGTTAAACAAAATTTAGAGGAAACCAATTTAGTGCATGATTCCAGCCCCCTACATCTTGTTTTGACTCTGGATTGAACTACAAAATAGTCACTACACTTCCCTGTGAGGCACTTTGAGATGTCTTCCCGACATGAAAGGTGCTATACGGAATGTAAGGATTATTATATTATTTTTCCACCATTCACCTTTTTTTCTATTTAGTTAAACCGGAGTTGGTTAATCTGAGCAAAGGTATTAACCGTAACCTCTTCAGGTGCTTGAGGCCAAAATGTGGAGTCACCGTGATATAATCAATTCTTAACTACAGACAAAATATTTCTCCACAGCAAAGCATCACAAGTCTTTAATTAAAAATTGCCTGCAGCAGATTCCAGCAGAGATCTGTATCAGCCAGCTCGACTCTCACCATGATCAGAGGGTTTGCAATCAGTCGCTTACTGTTTCTGTGACCAGGACCAAACCAAGGTTTATACAATTTTCAAATATTTGCAGACAGGCTATGAAAGTCCTTTTCTCCATTTTTAAAAATTGATCCACAGCTTTCCTTATCGTGGTTATCTTAAAGGGTTTAGTTCTGATTTGTGACTAGTCATCAAACTTCTTGTTGAGGTTTAGACATTGTGTATGAAGCCTCATGTGTATTAATATCATAGTAATCCTGGCGTGGCTATAGCTCCTTATCACATCCTTGAGATGTCTCAAAGAGGTTCACAGAATAGATTGTAAAGTGGAGTGTCTGTGTATGTTGTGAGCGAAACATAGCGACCAATTGCGCAAAATAGTATCTGTGTACCTATTACTCCTGCCCATTTTCAGCATGTGGGCTGAAACACTGAAAGCACCAAGTTATTACAAGAAAGATACTCAAATCTTGAGTTCCTAGTAACACTAAAAGATTAATAAATGAAACAAAATTTAAAATAAAATTAATATTGTGTAGTTATTTACTAAATCCTGTTATTTTAGCTTCTCATTTAACTCAAAAAGGTTCCCTCTTAGGTTAGGCTCTGGAACTCAGTGGCAATGTTCATTAATGCCCCTTGTCAGGACTTTGAACTCATATAACCTGCACTCCAGTGCAGTGCTGGGGTTATTCTTAATTGTTGGAGGTGCCGTGCTTCAGATGAGTCTCTAAGTCGTGGTCCAGTCTGCCTATTCAGGTTAAAAGATCCATGAAACTATCAAGAGAAGGTAGTTTCCCCCAGTGCTCTGGCCAACAATCCACCAAATAAAATTGATCACTCACTTCATGTTTCTTTGTGGGTCATTGCTGTGCACAAATTGGCTGATGGGTTCACCTACAAAATATATTCAATACACTGTGAAATGCTTTGAAATGCCCTCCTAACATAAAAAGTCTTATATCCATTGACAATGTCCGGCTTTGAAACATCAATCTACTGTAATTTGGGCATCCTCCTTCAAAGGCCATCTCAAGACATTTCCTCTTTGCTCATGTCTTCAATCATTCCCTGGCACCAGTGTAATGAGAGCTCTTCACCTCTTCTGCTGTCACTATTATCTAGTTATGTGCAAGACATCTCCTACCTACAGTCAAGCTAATGTTTCTGCTTCTTTCAAATCAGGCAAATTGTCCTGGCCAGCAATCCTCCTTGATAACATCGGTCATTCACTTCATGGCTGTATGTGGGTCATTGCTATGCGCAAATTGGCTGCAGTGTTTGCCTACAAAATATGCATTCCCCCCAATGTGAAAGATGATATTTAAATGTAAGTTTGATTGTAAATAGAGCAACACATTACAATAAATCACGTGAAGTGCTTCAAGATGTCCCCCTGAGATTGCCTCAGATACCTCATGCGGTATCAAATTCAAGGCTTATTATTATAACTTGTTGCATTTTCCCCTCAATTATTAACAATTCATATTCTTGTAATCATTTTCTCCACTCTGTCTTTTTTCACCTGGCCACAAGCTTGGTATCAATATAAATCATTAAAATAAGCACTTTCCATCAGATCATTGACAACAGTGATCCATCAGGGGATCCAGAACATATGCATTAACTCCAATCTCGCAGAACAGAGCTCTATTTATAATCTTTGGCTTCCTAGGTCTGTAAGTTCCTAGATCTGTAAGTTTTAAGATCTGGTCATTTTGCTATGAATTAGATGATTGTTTTTTTAACAAGCCTCACACACCTGTCTCAGTGTTCTGCAGATGAGACAGGGACAGGATAACAGTATCACAATGTAAACCCAGTGGAGGAGAACTATTGAAAACTATTTTGGAATGACTAGCTATTGAATTGTTTCTGGTCACGTACTATAACAACAACACGTACCAGGTTGGAATGCAAACAATACAGGTCAGCTTCTCCAGGCAACTGATCTCATGCATCAAAGAACAAGAAGTATTTAAGGGCCAGCACACCTGCACATAGCTGAAATACAGTCACACCCCTCGGTGAAGTTAGTTCTGCTCTCATCACTGCTACCTTATTTATACAAGTGTGTGATTAGCTTTTATTGATTTAGTTGTAGGCTCACATTCACTGTTGTCTGAAGTTTTATTGCCTGTCCATTGCACTGCTTGGTGCAAAACTGTTTCAGTGTATTTAACTGCAGTAACAGTAACTATAACAGCAAGATCACAGCTGAGATCTAATCAATGTGAAAACAAAGAACTGCAATACAGGGTCAAAGACTGCATTTGTGTGTGTAATGACTTACTGTAAAATTGAAGTTCAGCCATAAATAAGTGGGAACATTGAAAAAACACAAGGCTAAAGATTTTGAACCATGGAAAAATAATTGCACACCACAATTCAGAGCAACGTGTTCTGTATTATCAAACAATCTCTTTTCCAAAACAAAAATCACATTGAAGGCGTCAAAAGTTACACTTCCCTTCCAATGTCAGTAGTACAAAGATGTAATTTGTCTCTACTTTCTCAAGTTTGGTAATACACACCAGTGGTATACAACCAACCTATACCTTTACCTGAAAAAGTGATCTGAATTATGTATATTACATGTAGTTAAACTATTAATTTGACAATTCAGTGATAGCTGCAATATTTGTGTATAATATAAATGCCACTCTCCTGGATTGTGCAAAAACAGAAGTGCATCGATATTATACAAGTGGTGGTGCTTTACCTATTCCCCCATATATTCATTCATGTGATGACAAAGTGACTAGTAACATTTTGAAAAATACTACAATTAAGATCTCGATTTACTGCATTCTAATAAACATTTTGAATTTACTCTTCCAACATTAGAACCTAGGACATTAGTATCAATCTTGTGCTGATTAAAGCCGATGCCAGCGTCTCTCCAGCCAAGGCAATTTTCACATGTAAAATCCAGATAAAATACGCAACAATTTACTCATTTTAATTTCATTCAAGTAGACAGATTTGTTTTAAAGTCTAAAAGTCTATGGAAGAAAACAAACTGTTCTAACCACATCGAGCTAGCTATCTCAAGGCTCTTTTTTAGTGTTCAATTTTAGCAAATTCTGATGCAGATCACACATAGGTAATTTGACCCCAAAACAGTAGTGGGTCCTTCACTACTTACATTAGCAACATCTCCAGTACGGTGTGAATTCTCCCCACTTTTTAATCATGCTGGTTTACACACTGTGACAATACTGTCCCACGCTGACTAGTGCCTACACCCGCTACACCCACAAGTTACAACTAAAATGTTCAGTCAAGATGCTGACATTCACTGACAAGATAGAGCGACACACCCATGTCTGAAACCAGATTTTCAGGGAACTTGGTGCAGTCAGAATACCAAATCTCTCATTTAAACAGTAGATTATGTCTTTTTGGAAAGGTGTTCCTTTTGAAAAGAAATTACATTGCTGTAAATGACTGGTTGGATAATTTTCAGCAAAACAAAAGACTACAAGAACAAGAGAATTTTGATTCCTTCCTCCCCCTTGAATAAAAAAGGAAAATGTGTTGTGTGCCATTTTGTGTGAAATTCTGAGCTGTAAGGCCTCTGAGAGCTGAGAACTATGGGTTCAAATAGAAATTTTAAGCCATGGCAAAATAGCCATTTAAGTATACATTGCATGCACAGTTTAAGTTACTGTGTTGGGTCATGATTCAACATGCTTCGACAAAAAAGCACTTAAGAACACATAGTTACAGTAGAAAATTCCTCAATCCTTAAACTTGTCTCCAGGCCTTTTCTACGACTTTCAGGGATCCCCTCAATTTTCTTGATACTATCATTTTTCCTTCTCTTTCGTTACAAACCAGTTTCCAAACCTCTGTAATCACTCTACATGTCTACATCATTATTGACTTATACAGCTCAAACACACATGCCACCTACGTTACAAGTTCACACATGTTCTCAATTACCTTTTATAAATTCACTATGTCAGAAACCAATATGTGAGACAGAGATAAAGGGAGGATGTGTGTGTAAGAGGTACTATATCAAACTGAATTGTGTGAGGAGAGAATCCAGCTTCCCCTCAAATTTTTTTATAAATTATCACAACTTTCAATACTTGATATTATAGAACTTTCACTTTACATGATTGATTAAAGACTAAAAAAATCCAATAAGTTACAAAGTTTTGTCATAATTACAGCATCTTTGTAAACAACTGATTACGTGCCAAAGAGTAGATTCTAATTGATTCAGTAGAAAACACTGATGCCGGCTGCTGAATGAGGATGGAAGGCACAGATTAACATGATACAGAATGACAGAAATTGTACAGAGTTCTGCGACTGGTGAACATTCACCATTGCTGCTTATCCACTCCAGGAAGCAGAAAGAGACATTCTCCGTTTCCATTTCATATCCATTTGAGCTTTCAATAGGAATATTCTACTAAACAGCTGATTACGGAGTCTGTGTGCTTTATAAGAAATTGACTTCTCAGATGCTCTCCACAAAGCTGCCAGGGAAGAGACCAGTTTTTCCATTGCGTTGTAGAGTGCCCTTAAACCAGCCATCTTCACGTTTTTTATGCACAAACACAATGTCGCCCTCTTTAAGCTCCAGCTCAGCCTCGCTCTGTGGGGGATAGGATACCACAACTCTGTACCTAGACAAAAATACATTTCAATTAGCACACAGTTTGGGGGAGGGGGTGAACCTTTTTAAATAGCACTTAATCGACAAATACAAGTAACTGCTTGAAAAAACCCCTCTGTTAAAGGCCAAGTAAAAACATTAGCTCAAAAACAATAATGCAACTTCCAACCACAGATTAACTTCAACCATATGTTTGTGTGACAGACCACAAAGGCATAATAGCAAGCGCTGGCACAAACTATGGATAGAAGGGTTGAATGCTGTTGTGTATATAGTTATATTTAAAAGGGCCTTTTTTGTATCCAGATTCAAGTTTGTGCTGCAGCACTACATTTTCTCCACCTGCTATTGTTGCACCTGGGACATATTAAAGCCAACTTGAATGTAATCACTACCAGAGTATTTCCACTGAAATAACGTGCATAGGTAGAAATAAGCTAATTTTTTTAAAAAATAAATCTGTGCAGAAAGCCTGAACATTTTAGAATTCATTATTCACAATATGGCTCAGTGAATATTACAGTAAACATTTCATGCGCAGAAATGTCTAACCTCAATTAGACATGGTGCGATGACTTTTCAAATATTAATAAAAATATACAGCTCAAAACCTGCACTTGATGTAAACTTTTATAAGCAAGCAGTTAAAATGACAAAAGCCCACATACAAAGTTTATTCATTTACCGTTCCATTTGGACATGCTGTAATGGAGTCTTTCAGTACTCATTATAGTTTTATTACTCTGCGTGAAAACCATCTCGAACACAAGTACCTCCCACAGCTTTAAATTGCCCAGGAACAGCTGCATCCCAAGCAATGCCATAAAACTAGCTAGAATTCTCACTCATATATCAAGTACCAATCTAGTCGAAACAGTCCCTTCCTGTGCTGAAAAAGCCATTAGCGTGGTTAGACTGCTTGTGCCTGGTTCTTCCCCTTTGTGTTTCCATTTGTTCAATTTTAAAACCATTGAGACAGTCCTGGCCAATTGAGAACCCCTGTTGTTATGGAATGGTGCTCAGGCAATGAAAAGGTGCCTGAAATGAGACCACTAAAGGAGTCTTTTCAGTTGCATTTTGACAAAGAGCAAATTGCTTCTTTACTTGAAAGTCTACTGCCACTCCAATCTTCGGAGAGAAACTTGCAGCGTTTCTCTCCTCATTTACCCCCACCAACATCAGATTTTGTGTTCCTGAAAGTACTTCTATCAGCAGAATGAGGATTAGAACTGGAAATATTTACAGTTGGAAATCTCTCTATTTTCCTTCTTCCTCTACGCTCCAATTCAAACCTTTTCACGCATGATGCAAACTGTTAACCATGTGAGGACAAAGGAATTTAATTGCAAATGGAATTTCTTCCCAAATACATGGATAGTGAAACGGTAAGCCAGTTTTTGAGCCAGGCAGGTACCTATATTCCAGGGTATTGCTGATGACAGATTAAGACATCCTGGCTCATCAGCAGAACCTGCTGGTCATTGGGAGCAGAGATTCTTCCTACTCGTCTCCCATTAACCCTGCAAGGCAAAATCCTATTGAGTAGGGTGGTCCGTGTTCCATGAGGAGCGGGAAGCTTGCCAGGTAGAACTTTCAATGGTAAACTTTCTGGTTTTAGCTGGATAAATTCTAGCAGTACCCCAATGCACGCTGTGGGATCCTCAAGCCTTGGCTCTTACCGGCCTACACCGGGATAAGGTAAGGAGAGAGAACGTTTCTCCATGAGAGAAAGTACATTCCAATCCAGAGACAAGGCAATTTCCATGTGTAGGTGCATATATATGTGGAACTCTCCACCTGCTTTGGTTACTTTGCGTGCATCAGATGCCCAGCTGTAGCTCTTCAGCCAACTTACTGACTGCCTGAAATGCACATTTCCTTTTTCTCCCGACCTAATACTATTGTAGTTAGGAGTGAAAGACAGTAAAGAATACCTTTCACATGGGACTGATTTGGATTCCAGTTGAACTGGGCCCATGGATGAACAAGGTTGTCTTGGAGGAGGTGCGATTGGGACGCCGGAATCTAAGGAAGCTGTTTTTCGATGAAGTGTTTCGAACAATACTCCTTGGGATTCATTATCTACAGGACAAGATCCAGTTCTGCTGTGGTTTATACATGAAGGAACTTCAGGACCCACAGCTCCCTGTAGGAATGAGTCGGCAGCAGACGCTTCAGATTCTAATGTGGGTGAAGATGGAGGGGAAGGGCGTGATTTCCGCTTGGTAGATGCCCCAGAAAGCAGTTTTAAGAAGCTCTTCTTCTCCTTCTGCAAGAAAGCAAACATGAATTTGATATGTTTCAATAATTTTAAATTACATTTACAACTGACATAGGGGACACCCATTATAGACCTCTTTAACCATAGTGCTGCCTTGCCGATATAGCGGGTCTATTATGAATCTGTACTAACTGTAAGTAGTAAATAATCTCCATTAGATTCACCCACCTTGTCTCTGCTTTCCTTTTCAAATTTATTAGCAGCTGAAGCAGTCACAGGGGGAGCAGCAGGGGTTCCAGGTGGGGCAGCTTGCATCTTTCCAGATGTCTCCCCCTCAAGAGACGCAGCACTGATGTTAGGAGGAGTTATGGCAACTGCTGCAGAGCTGAGAGCCACAGCTGATCTGGGAGCAAAAGGGGCAACTGTCTGTCCTGCCTGATGATGTTGTGTAGAAGTGACTTGCTGAGGAGCAACGGGTGTGGCTGAAATAGGGGTAACTGGATTGTAAGCTTGAATAGGAGTCACAGCTGCAGTTGGTCTCTCCTGGCCATGGGTAGCAGCTGTCAGGAATAAATTCAGGAAAATATTATACAACATAAGTACACCAATTAACCTCCCTGTTTACCGTGAAAGGGTTTAATGCAAGTACTCACTAATAGGCCATACAATATCACAACAATTTACCAGCAGCAATTATATCTTCCAGCTAACAGGTACTTAACTCTTGTACTGGCTACTTAAAGTTCCAGCACAAAAATTATTTCAGAAGAACCCTTAATCTCCCCTCTTCTAGAATTTTTTTTTGTTGAGAGCCACTGAGCATTTCCAGTTTTATCCCCTTTTTTATTGTATTATTTTATTTGGGGTCCATCCACCTTGAGATTCACGACGTAAGGAATCCTGACACTGATATTTCAAAGAAACATGGAGTTTTTCTCCCAGTTAACCTGTCTTAGACTTGTAGGTTCGTGCTTATAGCCAGTCGTACTCCGCCACTCTGAAGCGCGATGGGACAATATCCTGCATGGGGAGGGGGGTGGGGCTATATAAATACAAATTGTTGTTGTTGTAAAGAATGTGTTTAGATTGACATTTTAGAGAGTTAATTTTACTTAAGCTGATTTGCTGAATTATGATTGTGCTAAGTGTGGGATTCAGGCTCCTGTGAGCAAAGACAAATATGGTATGAGAATTGAGAAATATTATCACTCTTGTAGTCAAAGCCACTAGAACAAAGCGCCTTGTTTGGAATGATGCACATAGACTATTGCTAAGACTTGCCGCCATGAAACATATATTTGTAATCATTTTAGCACTGTAGGCTGATGAAACTTTGTTAAGTTGATCATTATCACGTATGTATTTTGCCTAAAATGCAAAATTACTGATCATTTGAAATTGCACTGATCATTGTACTCTTATAACTTGTTTACTTGCTAGAAATGACTCATGTCTGTCTTTCATTTATCTAATGTCCTTGTTCAGTCTGGTATAGTTATGTGGGAAAAAGTTATAGTATGTGAAAGATGGTCTTGGGGAGTGGGGGGGTGAAGAGTAAAAATAAGGAAACTATATCTGTGAGCCAGACAGTCTCGAAGATAGCGAAAACTTGTTCTGTTTTTCCTGTGCATGAATATCGGGCACTAACCAGCATAAAGTTGGAACAGTCGCAGGAAGAAAAGAAAGGAGAAAACTCCAGCAAATATATATTCTGTTCTCCAGATCAGAAACTATATCTTTCTGTACCATGCACATTGCTATACCTGTCTGTATGAACTTGATTGTCCCGGGGTCTTGAACCAAGCAAAGACTCGTAAATTTGAATCAACAATTTGATTTAAATTAAATACCATTAAATGTACAATTGACACATTGCAGTCATCCAAATTTTCCAAAATTCAAGTTAATTGGCTAATTATTTCATACTACTGTAACGGGATATTGCTGGTGTAAATTAGCTGTTGCATTTGTCTTTATAACAATTACCTTCATTCATTGTTTCAAGACACTCATTTGATATACACTAAGCGCTTTGGGATGCTAATACCCTGCATGAGGGGCGCTATATAAATGCAAGTTGCAGTAGTAGTACAAGATATGATATAGATGGAAGTTATTATTATATCATCCGTTTTGATTCCTGACCCAATGGAGTTAATGGTTTCGACAACATTTTGGGAGAGAAGGGGGATTCTTTTTTTGCTGCACCATTAATACATGGGTGCTTCATCTCACCTGTGCGAACAGCATTCCGAGCTTGGTTGACAGTCATCTGGCCAGTCATGTGCATCAAAACCTTTGTCTGTGGATTCGTAGCTTGAATGAGTGCTGCTGATACCACAACAGTAGGTAGGGTAGTAGGACTGATTGGTCTGCTGCAATCTGAGCCATTTGCAGGAGCTTTAGCTTGAGACACGACTGCCTGAGAAGGGCTGACCACTGTAACTCCTCGACCTACTTGTGGTGCCACTGCCAGTGGTAATTTTGGCTGAGCTGTTCCAGAAGATGTCCTGTTCATGAAAAATACATTTTTGGGGATTACAAAACTAAAACAGAACACTAAATATGAAATTTCCTTTTTGCAATTTTGAGGGAGGAGGCTATAATAAACTGAGAATCTCTTGTTAAACCAAGTGATAGTTGAATCAGAATGAATTCAGAGAAGCTGCATATTATTATTATTGGCAGTAAAACTGTTGAGACAGGGACACTACCAGTGCTATCTGCAAATTAATTTCTAGCACTTTGCTTATTTTACCATATCAGGATTTTAACACTTGGACAAGCACACCGCAGCTCTACTTTTCTGCCCATCTGCAACTTAATCTGATCACCAATGGTGCAGCGATGAGACACAAGGGGCACACTGATCGATCAGTCACCAACCGACCGACCTCGAGGGAGGTGGAACCAACTTAGATAGAGGTGAGAAAAATGAGGGCTGTTTTTTCAAAAAAGAAAAAAAGTAATATCTGTGGCAAGATGCCTGCTTGACTAAATATCTCCGGGGGGCACGGTGGGGGTGGTAGGGAGAGGTAAGCAAGTTCTCCTGGCCAGTCACAGTATTCCAGGGCCCTGCTGATGACAGCACAGTCAGCATGGCTCACCAGCAGGACCTGGAAAGGCCAATTCCTAGGGGCAGGAAATCATCCCACTCAGCTCCTGTTATCCCTGCAAGTCAAAGCCAAAACACATAAGGTGATCCTAGCTGGACAAGCAGCAGAAAAGCTTGCCAGACAGCAATATCAATAGCAAGCTATGTGGTTTTAGCTGGTTAGACGAGAGCAGGACCCCAACACACACTCTGGGGTCCCCAAGCCTTGGCTCTTGCCAACCTGAGCCTAATAGTTTCTGGATTTAGGTAAACAGGATGTATTCCTCCAGTTTATAATAATAATCCTTGCATTTGATATAGTACCTTATCACATCCTCGATGCATTTCAAAACACTTCAAATACTGTAAAGTGTTTGTGGGCGAAACACGGCAGCCAATTGCGCACAGCAGTGTCCCACAAACAGTCGTGGATTGAGTGACTATTATTATTTTTTTGGAGGGATTATTACCCCTAGAAAGCGATCCTCCAATCAACTAACAACTGGGTTCCTACTTACTGCTAGCTAAACCGAGGCATGTGAAGTAAGGCAACTTGCCTATGGTTTACCCTTCCTGGTCCTCTCGTTTGAGAGGAGCGAGTGATCTAACCACTAAGCTACAGGACTCCACAAGGGAGGGAGGTTAGAGAGAGAGAGAGAGAGTTGTACATTCTTGTAGTTAAACCAAAGTCCACAATAACTAGAGGAGGAGGGTGAGGAAAAAAACCTTAATTTCTGCATGTGTCACCCAGCTGACCAAAAATACTTGACTAAATAGATGTGAAATTTAACTGGCAACTAATATTGCCAACATATTGCTCAACATATTGTATTACTGGCACTATCCCTGACAACCACTGTGATGTTACAATCCTCCCAAACCTGAAGAACAATTCTATTCTATGATCTGCCTCCAATCTTACTCTAAAACAAATACTTAGATTTTAAGATTCTGCCTATACAATTCCATTACCTAATCAAGCCATGAAGGTATAATTGGTTTCATTTTGAAAGACATTCATTAAACAGCACATATCAACTCTTAACATAATTTAAGGTAGTTATTATGAGAAAGAATCCAACTAGATTGCCTACTTATGATAGAAAAGATTTTGATTATGTGAGACAATGGGCATCCAACCCGAGTAGCAATGAGAGGATATCTTTGTGGACATAACAAACATGGTGATTGGCAACAGATATCAGAAGGGACAGCTCAAAATCTTGGGACTGTACATGTCACACATTAGAGCTGCTTTACTGTAAGAATTCAGCGGTACATAATGTTCTGAAGAGATTTCTGTTCATGGGATGTACTGGACAACTGAAGTCTAAAGTCATGGATAGCACTTGAACTCTATCCCCATCCTGACTGCTTAGATGGCAAAATGAAAATAAAAAGGAAAATTGATTGTTTAATACATTGGTTCTTTCAAAATTCTGTTCAACAAAAAGACCTAAAAGCAGCAAGAATGTTTGTGAAGGACGATGAGGTTTCATATTTTTTCTGACTAAAGATTGAAGGTGCCTCAATAGGAAAACCTTTAATTTTCCTAGGTTGTGGTGTCACACAATATATGTACTGACCTGGCTACAGGTGCCATATAGTTCCCAGGGAAAACACCGATCTTGCCTGTGTGCATGGACGTTCCCTTGAACCATCCATCTTGGCAACGTTCGAGTACAAGAAAGATCTCCCCTTTTCGCAACTCAAGCTCATCCTCTTTACGAGGAGTGTATGGATACAAAGCAACATACCTGTAAAATTATTAGGAGTACATTAGTCACATGTACCAAATGCTTCAATGTAATTAAATTCTAGACAGCAATTGCACTTGTTCCACAAAAATTAGGCAGGGCAAAATCATGGGCAAGTTTCCTTACTCCACACTCCAAATAATAATCCCTCCAAAAAGAAAAACAATAATAAATTGGTCATTTTCAATCCACGACTATTTGTGGGACATTGCTGTGCGCAATTGGCTGCCGCATTTCGCCCACAAATATGCAGTCAATTCACTTTACAGTATATTCTGTGAAGCGCTTTGAGACGACTAGAATACATGAAAAGCGCTAAATCAAATGCAAGGATTATTATTATTAAAAATTACCTTACTTACATGTTTGGACGTACTTGAGGCCTTGGATGTGCCACTTGGTCTGCTGAACCCAAGGCAGGCCATGGCGCTCCACCTGGTGCAGCCGAGGTGGAGGCAGTGACTGTACCAACAGCTGAGGTGGAGGCAGTGATTGTACCAACAGCTGAGGTGGAGACAGTGACTGTACCAACAGCTGGAGGTGGAGGTGGTGGTCGCGGCGGTAGGTGATCCTCCTGCATTCGTGAAAGAAACAACGAATAGATTCAACATGAGTGACTATGTATTGCCCAATATCAATTCAACTCATGGACAATATTTTTAATAATAATCCATCTTCAGAAGTCATACAAGGTTGTAGTGATCATTCAAAAAGCAGTCAAAATGTCAAGGAGAACAGAACACAAACAGCAGTGTAAAATAAAGAGTCATTGAATATGAAGGTTTTACTGCAAAATATTAAGCTTTATTTTTTCAGCATGATGGGTTATGCACCAGCTATGAATCATGAGAAAGACAAGAGTATCTCATTGTAAATCTGGTAGCATTGTTGCTGTTTTGGGAGAATCTAAGGAAGACAGAAAGAAACAACGCACTCCTGCCAGGGATGTCTGTCGCCAGAGATTTTTCTGTTGCCAGTGGCCTGAATTGTCTGTACTGGGAGCTCCTTACTACTGAGAAGGTACACCAGTCAAGACCTATCAATCTAGATTTTTCAACTGCGTTTGCCCATCTGTTTTTCCAAATATACCAATTCTTACGTGTAGTTCAGCAGTACAAATATGCCATTAGGGACAGCTGTATATCAGCCAACATTTCTGCTGAGAATCTTCCTTTCTCTCCTCCCACCCCAAAAGAAAAGAGGATTAAAAGTACAAATCCTTTGACCTATTCTCAAAAATAACTTTTCATGCAATCTTAATGCGCTTACTAACCATTGGTGCACTGATTATTTAGGTCATGTTCATTCCCATTATAACTGGAATGAGCATGATGGAATGGAGTATAAACACAAGCCGGACTGAATGCCCGAATGGCCTGTTTCTGAGGTCTACCTTCTATGAATTTTTAACACTATCTTTAAGATCCTGAAAGCAAACTAGTTGCTGATGCTTCAGTAAATGTATAAACAACAAACCTAGAAGCTACAGCCATTGTTGAATGTGAAACTTGTCATCCTCGAAATTCATTTTTTAATCTGTCAGAGAAATAATATGGAAAAAAATAAAATGCCTTCAATATTTTCTTCCCGTGCGACATCTAGAAATGTCATCAATCTTTCTGTGCTTTTTTATCAATCATCTTCCAGTCTAACTGACCACAACTTCTCAAACTATACTCAAACCCTGAACTAGCTGAGTCTTCAGTAATGTACAACTGAACTATGTAGTGCCATCACATACTAGAATTCAATCATAATAACCTACAATAGTACAATCATTGGGTATATTTAATGGAAAGAGAGGTTTCAACCTCAGGCCACGTACATAAATGGATGGGGGGTGAAGGGGGGGAGAGAGAAGAGAAGAAAGGCTCAAAGTCATTAATATTCAGGTATGTACGTGTCAAAGTGCATAAATATGTACTTACAGCAAAAACCCTAGCCAATTTTCTCTTCTCGAGCACAACTGCAGCAAACCTACTGAGATCAATTTACTCGGCATAGTGAGGACTAAACCCGGGACCTTTTAGGTTTGCCGGACTCATTTTCATTCTCGGCAATGGCAAACTGAGTCATCAGGGGTAAAGCCGTTGCCTAGAGTAATAATGACAGCACATTTGGCTTCACACAAGCAACTGTAACTCAATGTATAAATGTCCCACACCCAACAGTGAGATGAAACCTATCTATCCACCACCTGGCAAAAGTCTTTGATGTGCATCCCAATAAAAGCTAGAATATGGATAGACCACAGTTACTAACTTATTATTGTCTCTTTCAATAGCGCTTCCATTTAAATGCAGAAGCCTTTGAAGTTTTGCCATCATGAGGGTCAGTAATCTTTAGCAATCAGATCTGAACAGTGGCAGTTCATGAATAGCTGCAATCCTTTGTAGTGGCTCATTCTCTTTTAATATCAATAGATCAGTTGTAGTTGCTGATCAATGAAACCTCTACTGATTAAGAACCAATTTTCTTCCCTGCAAGTTCTGTATACTGACACTCCTGGGAAACCTGGTAGTACTGATTGATACTATATCATACAAAAACCTATATCGCAAAAGACAGAAGCCTCGACAAACAGGGCAAGCCATTTAACAGGTCAACTCGGTTTTTGTTGAAAATGTCACCCATCACATAAGTCTGACATGAAGCAAAGATCATTGAACCCAAGATTGTGATAATCCTAAATACCCTTCAATTTCCCTCTTTATTCAAATGACAAGTGAGGGAAAACGTAGAAGGATCACTGTGGTGTGTGTGACAAACATACTTAAATATAAAATATTGAATACTTCTAAAGGGAACGGCAGAACACAAACATGAAGTGTGATCAATGCAAAAAGCGTGTTTTTACCCAGTGACACATCCAAATAGGATCCTGGAATATTTTGAACAATTTAAGTGCCAAGAAATATCAGCATTTCCACCATAGGATTCATGCTCATTTAAAATATAAAATATAAATAATTTACATACAGGCCTGTCTAGCATAACAGGGTAGGTAACAGACTTTTCAATTTAGACTTGCTGAGTGCAATCAAAATGCTGTAAGGCGCCTTTATTGCCTGCATTAACACTTTAGATTAACATGTCCCAGTATTTTTCTGTGTTTCTCCTCTCCTCCACCACCCAAAAGCTACAACTAAAAACATTTAAACCTTATAGAATTAGACAACTTATTTGACGTCTGATCAGACTCCCTTAGTTTGTTAAATTACCTTCAGCCCTATAAATCAGCTGACTGCAGCTCATCTTCAGGAAATTGGAACTGTAATTATGTAAATATGAGCACGGGTGAGTATAATCTGGTTAACTATTATCTCGCTTTGTCTCGTACCTGGTAACATAAGGAACTGGTTACAATAAACCTGCTCCGTTTAAACCAAACTTCAAAAATCTCAGTGGGTATGAAGTAATCTGTTGTACATTTGTCATGTGAAATAGCTCCAGCAGTAAACACTACCTTAAAAGAACAAAACTTTAAAGAGCACATTGCCCACTGTTTTTTTAAAAAAGGAAAAAACATTTTTAAAACTATTTACATGTACAAGAGTCATTGAGGAGCCCTGCATTCAGCCATTTTATGTAGTACTGACAAAAACCAACAGGTTGAGGCAATTTCACTGCATTTCTTCTTGCATTCATGTTCCAATGGTGGTTCTGCAATCAGTCTCCCCCACCCCCACCCCAATTTAAGAAATATAGGCAAAACCGCTCCTTCAAAACATAATAAAAGCAGGAATGGGGTGCAAAGGGGTTTAGACGCTGTAAACCTGAGCCGAGGAGAAGGCCTTCGTGTCAGATCATCAGAATTAGAATTAGTGAGTGGGTATCCTGAATCTGCAATCATGTGTGGAGTCCTGTAGCTCAGTGGTTAGAGCACTCGCTTTGCAAGCGAGAGACCTGGGTTCAATTCCTGGCAGGGTGAAATCTTAGCAAGTTTCTCCACACGCCTGATAATAATCCCTCAAGAAAAACAACAAAAAATGTCACTTCAATCCACGACTGTTTGTGGAACACTGCTGCGTGCAATTGACTGCCACGTTTCGCTCACAAATATACAGTCAATTCACTTTACAGTCTATTCTGTGAAGCGCTTTGAGACGTCCAGAAGATGTGAAAAGTGCTATATCAAATGTAAAGATTATTATTATTTATTAATACCAAACCTCCTGAAAGAAAGATCTGTGGAAAACTGGCTTTTAAGTTGAGACAAAATTTAAGTATTTTCCTAAATTCTGCACCAGTTTAAAATTTTAAGGCAATGGTCTTAAGGCTAAGACCAGGGGTTATTTCATGATTTCTTGTATACTTAATAGCTATAAAAGTATTAAATTGTTAAAAGGTTTGAATCAACCGGTCCTTTGATTGTTAATTTGGGTTAGGTAAGGAATCAGATTTTAAAAGTAGATCATTCTTCTACATCAAAAACCACATTTTCAATGTACTGGGATGAAGGTACATGTGCTAGAGACTACCACCAACTCAAGAGACCAAAGATCTGCTCTGCCTTTCAATGTAGTTTACAATTTAAATGAGAATATTCAGTATATTTGCAAAGAAAAACATTTTGGTATTTCCCAAAGGCACACCCGCAGCACAGTAAAGTAACTTACCCCATGGGCAACCGTGTAAGTGCCTTCTGTTGGGAAGGCACATGGCGCTACTGTATTGACAGGGCTGCTGGGAGGTGGGGTCACTATTAAACCAGTCGTGCTGATATGGACCTATCAAAATAAATACATATTATGTCTCAAGTCACAAGATTATATCACTATATTCACTCGAGGAGATTTACTATCATGTGAAATGATGGTGCAATTTGTAGGTACACACACAGCTAATATGCACACAGCAATGTCCTACCAGTAGCTACAAAGCGATTGACCAATCATATCTGGCCAACTTCAGAAGAAAATCCGATTCAATACATAATCTACACTATGTGCAATTCAATTCAGCCGGTAAGTGCACATGTGGTGATGGGTCAAGACTACGTTTCTCACGATTCATTACGCCTGAACCAGTCACCGCATGTGCACTTACCGGCAAGCATTGGAATCGCTGGAAATAAAGTTCTTTTGCACATGCAGTGACAGATCAATATTACGTTTCGCACGATTCAATGCAGCCGGTCGGTAAGTTTACATGCATCGACAGGTCATGATATAATTTCCTGCAATTCAACGCAGCTGGTAAGTTCAAGAGTAATGGAGGATAGGGCAGTGAAGTTAAGAGTTAGGAGATAATATACATGAACAGTGTAAAGAGTTTTTAATAGAAGACTGAATTTTAAATGTGAATTATTTTCTATTTTTCCTCTATCACTTCTGACGCAGAGAGCATTAGGACATCTGCCACTAAAATCCAGCACTAAGCTTCTTGGTCTTAACCTAGCCTACTTTAATGCCCAATTTAAATTACAGTTTCTGTATATATGTAGTTTGGGAAATCCAAATACATCTTATTACCAAGATATTAAGTTAACTGATTGGATAATACAATGCACTTTTCTGTGTCAACAGGAAAGTTGATGGGAATAAACTACACATTTAAAGTAATTTAAGAACCTCTTCCTAGTCCATCCTGCAAGTTTCAAGGCTACAGATTACAGTGAAGTGGATCATAGCACAAAATAGTTTTTAAATAATGCCCAAAATGAATATGGCCATATTTTTTATCTGCATTAATTTTTTGAAAAAAGTATCAAACCTGATTGATAGGTTTTGTATAAAATCTGGTTTGCACTAAAAAGGTACACTTTATTAAAGTACAGACAATGTATATCAAGATTAAATTTAAAAGCAGAAAATGTCCTCTGATTGCAATGTCCCCATTGCAATCGTATATTTTATGAAGCACTTTGAGACATCTCAAAACATAAGGCGCTATATCAAATGCAAAGATTATTATTGTCATAAAAATGCTAGGTTTCTGGAAGTATGCTTGCACCATGTAATTCACCAATTTGACGAAGTATATTTAAAAGCTAAATATTCTATTAGAAGATGGCAAACTTATTTTAACCAGTTCTTAAACATAAATTGCTTTATTATATGAAAATTATCAAAAAAAGTCACAGGCATGCTTTACATTGTAGCCTCTATTTATACAGATTATACCTCAAGGCCAATAAGTATGGCTGACTAAGTGAAAATGATTAATGTGTTGAACTAAGGGAGAAAAGAACACCTGCACTGGCTTTGTGTGACACTGATTTTCCCTTGTCAAACATACCCTCTGCAGGCAAGAGATTAAGGTATGCTGCTCATTCAAACATTCAAGTCTGCTCTTCAGCATTCTGTAAACTTCCATTAAATCACTGGCAATTGTTATCGTTCTAAGCTGACCTAATTCAGAAGAAACGCTCGTCAAAGAACAAACTGTGATCATCATCATATCACGAGGATTTGTATTTTATTTTTTGCCAAAGTGAGAGTAACAATAAATGCCATTTCCAAGAAGACACTAAAATTCCAATTTGTTCATTATAAGCTTTCAGTCATATCCATTTACCTATCGGTGCTGACTTCTGAAGCCACATAGTAAAAGGATAGTAGGAAAGGAGAAACTCTCACTTTCTTTCACAGTGATCCCAACCTGCATTCTATCCCATTGATTTAATCTCCTTATCTGCCAATCTATTCCTCAATCCCCACCAAACAAACTTAATAAATAATAACAAACTTAATAAATAATAATCTTTGCATTTGTAATACCTTCTATTAAGGCAATACCTGGCAATGATAATATTTATACACTAAGTCCCTCTTTTTTTAATTTGGGAAAGGGGATGAGTCTTAGAGATAGAAGAAAAAAGGGAGAGGGGAAGGGGGTGGTGAGAGAGAGCGAAACAGAGAAAGATGAACACGAAGAGTATGATGCACACAGACAGAACAAACCCACAGGGCAAATGAATAAGCAAGAGTGGGGCAGAGACAACAAATCAGGAGAGAGAAAGCAGTAAGACATACAAACACAACAAGTATGAGACAAAGACTCATTCACAAACAAAGCTTGCTACAAAGAGCTCCGTTCCTAAGTAAGCCCATGTATCTATTGTACCCACGTTAATAATTTCAACGTATTTTTGTCCAGGACCCTGTACCCAGAAATGCCTTAAATCATTTAGAACTTTCATTTGTGGAGTGCACTGTTCAGGGACAGGATAAAGTCAGAGAGTGCACTATCCACAGCCAAGTGCTGAGCAGACAGAGAACTGAGTGTTCCTAGCAAGTCTGTTTATTGATATAATGGATTAACGTGATACTATCTTTTCAGCAATGCACTGAACAATCCTGAACGAGAATTTGAAAATGAGCCAGCTTTGAAGGCAATGGGTAAGTATAGTTGATTAGCACACTGGCCTTTCATACTTGAAAGACAGCTTGCATTTTTAATAGCTCCCATCAAAGTGCCAAAGTGCTTCACATGTAATTACTATCACGTGAAAGGGTTCTTTATAGGCAGACTTGCAGACATTTGTGCCAGTTAAATCCCACAAACACCCATGATGTGATTGACCAATTAAACGACAGATACCTGGAAACTCCTTGCTCCTTTTGAAAAGGTCTTTAACAGCTGCCTGAACAGGCAAAGGCACCTCAGTTTAACATCTCGTCTGCATCTAACATTTCAGTGTTCCCTCAGTAATGAATTAAATTGTGTGTACAACCACCTCAAGCTCCTACAATTGCGTATGAATTTGGCTTAAATGTATGGGATAAAAGGTTCTGCTGTATGGTGGCTGTAAGGAACTATTTCAAATGAATTTAGACTGTCTCAATCCAGTTCTGATGTGTGTGGACACAAGCATAACATATTTCTCTTAATTTGGTAATATCACTCAAAAGAATAGTAAGACTGCTGGTCTAGCAAATGGAAATTTCCGCAGGATGATTGAGGATGTGAGCCGATGTTGGGGCAAAGTCCACATTTGATATAGCGCTTTTCACGGTCTTCTAGACATCTCATAGCGCTTCGCAGAATATACTGTAAAATGAACTGACTGTATGGTTGTGGGTGAAATGCAGCAGCCAATTGCACACAGCAGTGTCCCACAAACAGTCATGGATTGAGTAACCAAATTATTATTTTTTTGAGGGATTATTATCAGGCGTGTGGAGTAAGGAAACTTGCCCAAGGTTTCGCCCTGCCGGGAGTTGAACCCAGGTCTCTTGCTTGCGAGGTGAGTGCTCTAACCACTGAGCTACAGGACTCCACAATGCACATATAATGTTAAGATCACACATGAAGATGTCACTCAGGTAAGATATTGGAAGGCTGTTGGCACTGATATTCTTTCAGAAAGAATGAACAAATGTATTGTAATAAATCTTTTATGTAAATAAGTAAAGGTATAATTATCATTACAGTTCTTTGAAAGAGGACTCTTCTGATGACCATCTGACACAGTTACCTTTCTTCAATAGTATTTTATTCATGTTTGGCTGTAAGATGCTTCTTCAATATCTCATTAGCTTTGAATAGACATCTATACATTAGATGCCTTGAGGCTGCACAGAAGATTTCATAAGGAAATTTTAGAACAAATTCCAAGGAAATATATCTTTAAACAGAGTTTAGTTATCAGGAAGGTTGGTTGAGCCAAGGACACTGGACTTATTTTAAAAATAAATAAGCTCAATGCTGTAATAGGAAGACAGTATGGATACTCTTCTGGAAGAATATCAAATAATTATAATATCCTCACATTTGATATAGCACCTTTTATATCAGGAGGGCATCTCAAGGTGCTCAAAGTTGATGCCTTTTTGGCAAGAATAACAAACATCTAACTTCAAGAGCATACAAAACTCAAACCATGCAAACACTTAAACCTCCAAATTTATAACCATTTTACAGTCATACTATCAGATATTTTCCTAAAATGTTTTTGGTTTAAAAAAATGACATTAGGTAACAGCACTTGAATAAGGAGGTTGTGAGGATTTTCTTTAATGTTTTCTGTCACAATCTTGAATCTGTATCAAAATCACTTAGTGTCATATACAAGACTATCTCCGTGTGGTAACTTTATATCCAAACTGAATGCATTCCCCTAATTGTTGTTATAATTTTGTTGTTGTCGTACGGTTGTCAAATTGTTTTAAACTAGGATCGTGCTGAACTTCAGTCATAGTATAGATTTATACCATATGTTTTAAAATAATTAAAATGGAGCTTATTATTACTTTTATTATTACTTATTATTACTATATTACTTATTTAAAAACAAATCTCAACTTCAAATTACAATTTGGTTATTTTCCATTATTTTGTGGAATTTCCCATTTTTCCTATTTGCAACGTGCGCTACTTAAACCCATGTTGCCATCACCACTAATACTGACTGTCAAAACATAGGAGATAATTGGAATGGGAACATCAGCAATTCAAATTAGTCATCCAGGGAATGAAAGATGCCAAATGGGCACCACATTAACTGGACCAATTATATTGAAACACAAGAATGCAATACATACACGCACACTATACACATTCAAAAATTGAATTGAGGTCAGAAAATCAGTTTATAATAATAATCTTTGCATTTGATATAGGGCCTTACACGTCGTTGAGACGTCTCAAAGCGCTTCACAGAATATACTGTAAAGTGAATTGACTGTATATTTTGTGGGTGAAACGTGGCAGCCAATTGTGCACAGCAGTGTCCCACAAACAGTCGTGGATTGAGTGACCAATTTATTATTTAAGGAATTATTACCCCAGAAAAGTGATCCGCCAATCGACTAACAACTGGGTTCCTACTTACTGCTCGGTAAACAGAGGCGTGTGGAGTAAGGGAACTTGCCCAACATTTCGCCCTGCTGGGAATCAAACCCAGCTCCTCTCGCTTGTGAAGCGAGTGCTCTAACCACTGAGCTACAGGACTCCAGTTTATGTAGTACATGGACACTTTAATACAAACTACTAGATATAATTCCCCATTTGTTTACTTCATAAATGTTTGGACAGGAATGTAATCACCTACAAAATAGAAACAATTACTGAAAGCTATTTAGAATCTTACCTGAGAAGGAGCACTGCAAGAGAGTCCACCCAACTCACTGATACGAGCAGCAGCTGTTGGGTTACTGGAACTTATGAGAACAGGAGGACTGATCTCCATGGAGTGACGGTTCTGAGATGACTGCGATGCTTTGTTGGACATAGTTAATGAGGTGAATGAGTGACGCTTTTTTGTGTTTTTCTTGGTGATATCTGTGGGCTTTTGGGCAATACCTGAGGCATTACTGCTGCCTTCTCCTGAATCACCACCTCCAGAAGTGGAGGCAGAAGGCTTATCCAGGTGTATTAGCTGTTTGGCTGTTGAGTTAAACTAGAAATTAAAATATATATTAATAAGTGATATTAATTCAAAGCACATAAATAACCCTAAATATATTCTAGTCACTCGTGTGCTGGCATAGTTGGGAGTATAAAGGATTTACTGTAGTTTCTTATTTGCATTTGAAAGACCTCCTGCTATAATAGTCCTATCCATCTGTAAATTACCATCTCTAATACCAGCCAAAAGCTCTTACCTAATCACATGAAATTTAGCAAGTTTCTACCTCAATGTAAACTAATATTTAACATGCAAAGATATTTAAAATATTCTATCACTCCCTTTTAGTATGCTTTATTTGCATATCATTAGTTTATATTCATTATAAGCACAAAGTTCAAGAAATAGCACTTCTGTAGTTTCGTATAAAATTCTGTACAAAGCTGTGTACGGTTCTAATAATTAAGCATTTGCTTAGATACGTGGAAAACGCTATACCATCAAATTACCAAGAGTTATGAAATTACAGGCTTCAACATGCACATGGGTTTGACTAAATCAGGCAAGTTCCCATGTCAGCTTATAAAATCGAGCAGCTTTGTTTTGGTGGGTGGGGGGGGGGGGGAGTGGTAAAGCAATTGCTTCCTTATCTGCAATTGTGAAAAAAAATTGAATCGTAAAAGATATTGTAATGTTCAACATTCAGAATATTCGCAATATATTAGGCTGAAAAATATAAGAAAGCATTAAATGGAAATAGGCCATTTGGCCCATCAATCCCTTTAAATTCACAGACAACAAGCAATCCACTATTGGAACATTCTATCTGATTCATTTATTCTCCTGACAAAAAGGTTCTCAAAATATCTTCCAGAACATCCATCAAATCTATCCTGCATTATTCATCCTTGACTGTCTGTATCCCTTGGTAAGACAATTTCATGGTCAAAGCAGCTCACAAACCTTGATATTTCACACACTATTCAATCTGTACTCGTTTTTATAATTCCATTCCTGTTCCTAACTGCCATTTGGCTGGAAACCAATTCTACATATCCAGCTTCTAATCTTAAATCTTTAGTCAAGATTAGTTTTATTCAGTCAAATAACCTGCTTGCATCGATATAATCGATAAAGTTCTAGATCATATCCCACTCTCTGCCCATTCTCCCGTGAAATGAAGTTCAGTCACAAGCCCCTCTTGATAATTTAGAAACTCCCTTTCTGCTCTATCTGACCTTTTCCAAGGCGACAAAAGACCTTTTGATGCTTGAATGCTGGATCTGCACACATTATTGCACATGAGGCTTCATGGGACATAAGAACAATAGTTACTTTCACATCTCACTGCTTAAACAATATGGTTGATAATATTTTTACACAAGATACTTTTAATACAGCATTGTAAGTCTGACCCACTCGTTAAACACAGATGTCCGAGACTAGGTGATTGTAACACCTCAGCATCCCACAGCAAGACTCAGAATTCCATAGAAGAGGGATCAATCTTCCACTCCACACACACACATATATATATTATAAAATTATATATATAATGGAATGCAGAATATCCTTTAAAACTAATTTTCCCCAAATCAGTCACTTCAAGGAGGCAACATATTCATTTTCGAACACACAATAAGTTGTTTTGAAAAAAATAAGATCTCTCCACCCCCATGAATCTGGATGTTAAACTGCCCCACCTCATGAAAATACAGCAGAACTCTGTAAAAATGTGCTTTATAGAGCAAATTTGGTTATAACGCAGTAGCAGAGGGGACCCCATTCACTGTGCATGTGTGTACCCATGCTCACTTCTCATGCCAAATGGCTATCACGCCAAATTGGCCAATGGGTCATCACATCACTTCCTGCTTTGCAAACATGGTTTGCCCTGAGTCAGCCATAATTCTTTTAGTACGGGAACCAGTCAGATCGCAGGGAGCAGGGTGACCTGCTGCAGGATTGTACGCTGAAACCAGCTATTGAGTCTTGCTATTTTATGGATCCCAACCACCATGTTATAAAAGGGCTCCACTGTACCAACCCACCTCAACATAAGAAATGGGGAATATTCCTATCTTGTCTCCCAACATTCCTTCAGCCCAGTTCTCATCCACTCGGCGTATCACTGTTAAGATATCGTCCTGAAGAGGGAAACAAAAAATAACATGCATAAAAAAAAGTTTTTTTTAAACAAGACAAAATGAATAAATATAGCAGACAATTTATTTTAGTACAGCAAATCGCTGTGAAAAGCAAATTGACAGTTTTTTTTTAAATAAAGCTTCAAACTAAACTTTGCATTAGGTAAATACTACTTTTATAAGCTACACTAATAGGCATTGGAATAGTTTGATAATAATACTTGCATTTGACATAACACCTTATCATGTCATTGTGATGTCTCAAAGCCCTTCACATGATATACTGTAATGCTCGTGTGTTTTTTGGGTGAAATGTGGCAGCCAGTTTGTGCACAGCAAAGTCGTACAAACAGCCATGGAGAGAGTGACCAATTTTATTTGGGGGATTGTTGGCCAGGACACCGGGAGAAACGCCCTTCTCTTTTCGAATAGTGCCATGGCACCTCCCACAATGCATTACCCTCCCCACCCCAGCCCTTGGTTATCTGAATGCGATGCCAATTCCCGACATGGGGCTTGAACCCACAATCTTCTGATTCAGAAGCGAGAGTGCTACCATTTGGAAAGCAACAGCCCTTACCTTTGAAAATGGTAAGCAGTCTTTATCTGCTTCCTTATCTTTCACTTCAAAATCATAAAGTGCTTTGCACTGTGGCGGAGGCTGAGGTAAAGGTTTGATAATCTGAACATAGTTAGTGGGGAAAAATCCATGAACACTATTGATTTCCCCATGGTACCAATTTTCATCCACTTGGCGTCTCAGGATGATAACGTCTCCCTTGCTGAACTTGAGATCACCGGGCTCCTTTCCTTCATAGTTGTATATTGCTTTGGCACATGGCAGTTGAGGTATACCCTGAAAGAAATGAGCAAGATTTTAATCAAATGCACTTTTTTTTTGCAAACGCCAAAGTGCAGATCACATTTAATTGTTCACATTGCGTAGGAAATAATTTCCATAAAAAGAACAATTATTTCAATGTGAATCTAGAACCCTTTGAATAGAAAATACAATACAAAATTACATTTGACGTCAGGAGGACGTCCCAAGGTGCTGGACAGTCAGGGATTTGGACCCGAGCTGGGGGTTGGATCGGGGAGAGTGGAAGGCAGTGAGGGTACCCGAAGGCTCGGTCAAGGGGAGGGTTATGAAACGCATCTTGAAAGAGGCAAGGGAGGAAGCAAGGCGAGTAAAAGCATCTAATGCTAGCAATGGTTTTAGCGAGATTATCTAATTAAAAATTGGGGCATCGAGGTGAAGAATTGTTAGGAAGCAAAACATTCTTCCCGGTGAACATCCAGTGACAAGAGTTTTTTCTTCTTTAGTTGCTAATGGACACCCACACAGAGAGTAAAGCTTCCTCTACTCTAATCAACAATGTGCCTTAATCCCAACTTGCTTCAAGGCACTGTTGATGACAGTGCCAGCCTGCCTTGCTTGACAGCAGGACATGGAGAGCAAACCAGCCACATGGGGCAGGGTTTTTTCATACGTGGGTCCTGTTAATCCAAATCCTAACAGGTAGAACAAACAGCAGAAATCTTGCCAATCTGCCAATCTAACTGGACAAACAACAGGAATCTTGCCAATTAGCATCTGCAACGGCAAGTTATGTGGTTTTAGCTGATTACACTTAAAAAAAAACCAATGCACTCTCGAGTACCTAAGCCTTGTCTTAGAGTGTGCTTAGGTACTCTAGAGGTACGTAGGTACTCAAGCACTCTGAGTTCCTAAACTGCCTAAGGGGTACTACATAAATGTATGTTGTTGTTGTTGTTGAAGCCTTGGCTCTCGACAACTTTTCTAAATCAGGTAAGTAGGACAAGTTCCTCTTGGGAGAGAGTGCTTAGTGTATTCCAGACACAGGAACATTTCCACACAAATGTAGCATACATATGTGGAACTCTGTCTGGCTTGAATACTATCAGACACAGTGATGGGTTTCCACGTGGCAGCGACCAAGTTGACCCCAAATAAATATTATGTGCTGATGTGCCATTTTCTATTTCCCATACCAACAACCTGAGTAGCCTGAGTTAGCCTAAACCCACAAGGTCAGGACAACATCAAACTATTTCACTTAGGGTCTTTACAATTAGCAGAGGCAGAGATTGTTCTATGTTTAATTGAAACCAGGTTGAGAAGTGAAAGAACAGCACCACCCAGATATGAATGCTTCTCTTGACAAAGAACGCTGTCTAAATACTGAAAGGATGTGAAGCTCTGAATGGCTTCAATCACCTAAAAGTACAGATTAAGCATTCCAACAAAAACAATAGAATATAACAAATCTTCTGCACATGAGAACAAGTTAAAGTTAGACATAATAGTTTAAGGTTTCTGTGACAGCTGTGAACTTATTAGAAACTGATAAAGTAAGCACACTTTAATTACGATACCCATTCCTAATATTAGACTATCCAAATTCATTCTGCCAGTCTTCACATGGACCTGGTTTATCGCACTCAAACCAACATTTAAAAATACTGCACAGGAGTGAATATGATTGGATGGCAAATAATGTAATTCCTCACCGTGACAAATAATCTGCAGTGCCAATCACTCAATACGGTATTTATTTATATCAAAGAAATTTTCTGTCAAACATTTTATGTTAATAGTACAGTATATACACAGTAGGGCACTCTTTGCATCCCAATTAGTTTATTTTTATTTCCGTTCGGGACAGTTATAGGAGAATAGCACTTCTGAAGTGATAACAAAAAGAATTTTCCACAAGGAGGAATTGAACGCTCGATTCATCACTCTTTCATGTCTTGGGTATGAAAACACTTCATAAGATTTTTGTTCTTTTACGCTGAAAAGCCAGAAGAGAAAGTTGTTGTGCAACTTTCTAAGCCACTGAAGAATAGTAAATGTCCAAATATAGATCATGTTTCCAGCAAGTACTCGATTTGCTGTGATAATTGTTCATTTTCTGTTTATTATGGATTTGGTATTTTAATCTGTGCAAATGTAACTTTTGTTTGCAAACCAACAAAGCAAGGCTTGGTTTATTCAGATCTATATTTACCACGATAGTGGATCTAAGGTAACTCCCATCTACTAATGCCACACAATTTAGCACTTGAAAACAGAATGAATTTGCTCTGTACTGTAAGACAAATCGCTGGAATGAAATTGAAATATACAACACAATTTGACTTGGGTAAATCGACTGAACATTGGACTGCCAGACTGTTGAAACTCCAAACAAAACGACAAAGACAAAATTGATAAAAACAAACTTTCAGAGGTTTTTTTTTCCACAGGTCTGAGTTGATTCACTGACTCTCTCATTCTACTTTCTCCCCAATGTTCTTTCCTTTCTGCTCTCTTCGCTCTCATGCTGGAGTAAAGCTTCAAGTGTGCCAGATGACAGCCAGAAGCTCAGCCAAATGCCCATTATTCGTATTTGATCCAAGGCAGTGAATGGCAGTATATAATTTGATCATGGAGGGCATCACAGCCAAGCCTGGTCTTGCCCAAACCAGGAATAAGTATTGTATTGTGATCATAAGCACTGAAACCAATGTTACACTCCCCACTTGCCATCCTGGCTGAGATCAGTAAAGTTTAAAAAAAAGAGAAATCCTCTTGGGGCTGTAAGGCTCAGCATCACTTCAGTTGGCTCATTTATTGCCACTTTAATTGCATTTACAAAACAAGTCTTATTAGGTCTTAGATAGATGCATACAACCCAAACAAACAAAGTGATATTTAAACATTCTCTGATTTATGCACATTTTTAATATGGTTCATGTTGTTACTGGCTCTCATTGTGTAATTAGAATTATAGCTAAGTATTATTCAACCACTGATCCGTGACCGCTTCATACCTCTGGTTAGCCAATTAGTCTCAAGTCGTATAAAGGCATCAACTGGGACATGGAAATGAGCTGCTGTAGTTACTGTAGAAAAGCAACGTCTTTGCCTTATTCTCTATGAATCTGTCAGCTGGGCGTTCAGAGAAGCATAGAATTATACAGCACAGAAGGAGGTCATTCGGCCCAACGTGCCTGTGCCAGCACTTTTTAAAGAGCTCTCCAAATCAATCCCACTCCCCCGCCCTCTCCCCATAGCCCTGCAAAATAGAATCACACAATTATACAAGAATCATAAGATATACGTGTTGGCCTGGCTCAGTTTGTAGAACTCTCACCCATGAGTCAGAAGGTGGTGGGTTCAAGTCCCATGTTGGGGCTTTGAACTCACAGTCTATGCTGACACTCCAATACAGTGTTGGGGGAAGCGATGCACTGTTGGTGACATCCTTTGGATGAGATGTCAAACCAAAGTTCTATGTTCCTGTTCAAGTGAATGTTAAAGATCCCGTGACACTAATTGAAAGAAGAAGAGTGTTTCTCACAGGGTCCTGACCAATAATTCCCCCAAATAAAATTGATCATTCATTTCATGGCTTTGTGGGCAATTACTGTATTCAAATTGGTTGTTTTGATTGCCAAAAAATGCAAAGTCATTGCGCTTTACAGTAAATTCTGTGAAGCGCTTTGAGACATCCACCCAAAGTAAAACGCATTATATGAAATGCAAAGATAAGTATAATCTCTTTTAAACTGAAATAAAAGTGAATAAACAGTTAATGATTTCTATCTGCTTTGTTTTGAGATACAAATGTTATCTTTCATGGCAGTTCCATTTTAACGGTCAGATTTTGCTGATTCATTTTTACTTTAATAGTAAAACACATCGTCACAAACATGGTGTTGCCACTGGATATCAAACTCACTGTAATGTTGATTAAAAAAAACTTCACTGGACATTTAGGATTCTTATTTTAATTTTTTGTACTGTATCACACTTCAATATTGAGACTCACAAGACTCATGAAGACAGTTACCAAAATGGATAGCAGCAAGACTCAAACCACAAAACAAGGGATAGTGTGGCTTTTATAGTCTATTCAATTGATACTTAATGCACTCTCATGAAAAATGTGTTGCTGGTTAGCTAAATAACATGCAACATTTCCTCCCATTTTGAAAGAACAGGCTAGAAGCATTGCCAAATAACAGTTTGGATCATAATAGAAATAGCAACCTAAGTTACATCAATGCAAAATGCAATAGTTAATTTTTAGAACACAGATTAGAATGAGCTCCTAAAGTTTATAGTAGGTCTGTTGAAAAGTGCTGGCATTTCAAACAAAAGTGTTTACTACAGAAGCAGTTTATTTCGGCCCAAGCTGAGCTTAACAGGTTTGGAATTTGTAATGAGAACGAAAAGCTGGCACAGAACCTTTTTGCATCTTGATTTAGCTACTTTACATTTCCCGAAACTTACTTACAAGCAAAATAATTTGGTTACTTCTAAAGAAGTGAAATTTGTGTTAAAAATCAAATGGGACTCGAGGGGCGTAAATGAAAGCTGGTAAAAAGCATGTTCAGAGAACATTAAGAAAAACCTCTTTATTCAAAGGCTATCAAGTAAAGCATTCAATGTAAAAGTATTGTGGTTATACAGAATACAACAACAACAACAAAATTACATTTATAGAGTGCCTTTCACGTCGGGAGGACGTCCCAAAGCGCTGCAGCGCATTGTAACAGTGAGATCCCATGGGCTGAATGACCTTTGCGTATCGCAGATTTCTCTTAGGTTCATAATTTAACTTATTGTAGGGATTCTACAATTCTTATATTAAAAAATCAATTGGAAAATTGACTGAATTTTGAATGTCAGCAACTATCAAGAGTTGTCACATATCCAACAATACCATAGGAAACTACAGTATAATGCCATTTTTGCCTTGGCTGGCAGCATTGTTCTTTCACCTCATCTCCTCCAACAAATGTAGATAAGGAACAGCTGAAAGTAGTGAAAGCAATGTGAGT